TTTTTTTTTTTTTGGTACCGGTGATTAAACTCAGGTCCTTGTGCTTTCAAGGCAGGCACTGGAACTACTGAGCTAAATCCCCGGCCCCTAGAGTTTTATTATTCTTTAGATCCATTGAGTTTACATATGAAAGAAGCTATGGAACTGTATAGGTATAGGTACAGTAGTATAGGACTGTGTCTCATCTCCAGGACCGAAAAAAAAAGTCAACTAGGCTTCCTCTTTGAATATGAAGAGAAATATAGTTATCAATTGAAATGACATAAAGTTAATCATATACAGCAGTTTCTAAGATGGTCCGGTCTCCCGGAGTCAATGCTGAAGGGTCTGTACAGAACACGGCAGAGTGATGTCATATGATACCCTCCCTGGACTAGGTTATAAAGGACCTCTGCTTCCATCGTGGCACATTCTCCCAAGTCTCTTGGATCACTCACTATGAGGAGGCCAGCTGCCCAGGGGCACACAGTCCCACAGAGAGGCCTACATGGTAGGAAACTAAGGTCTCCTTGGCCAACAGCCAGCGAGGCATGTAGGCCTCGTAAACAGCCAGGTGAATGAGCTAGAAAGCAGATGGTTCAATTCAACCGAGCCTTCAGGTCACTGTAGTACATGCTTATATCCTTTTTTTCCTTTTCTTCCTTCCTTCCCTCCCTCCTGTCCTCCTCCTCCTTCTTCTCTCCCCGCTTCCTTTTTGTACAGAGGACTGAATCCAGGAAGAAGTGAGCTACATCTCCCAGCCTTTTTAATTTATCTGCTTTTATTTTGAGTCAGGGTCTCACTAAGTTGCCCGGGCTGGCCTCATACTCATGATCCTCCTGTCCCAATCCGTGGAGTAGCTGGGATTACAAGTGTGTGCCACTGCACCCAGCCACAAACTAACACAGTGGGGGACCAGAGATCAAACTCAGGACCTTGCACTTGTGAGGCAGGCATAGTGCCACTGAGCCAAATCCCTGGCCCCAAACTAACATTTTAACTGAAACCTAAAGACTCTGAGCCAGGACCACTGAACTAAGCCTCTCTGGATTTCTGTCCCTTGGAAATGTTACATAATGTTTATTGTTTTGGGCTGTAAAGTTTTGTTAAGCAGCAATAATTAACATATCATATAATCAAGAAAGTAAATCATTCAGAAGCCTGTATTCTTTTTTTCTGGTATTGGGGATTGAACTCAGGACCTTGTGCTTGTGAGGCAGGTGTGGCACCACTGAGCAAAATCCCAGGCCCTAAGCCTATATTTTAAACAGAGCAAATGATCTTGTTTGTACTAAACATCAATTTCCTGTAACAAGCAAGAGTTTATAGACTTACTAAGTATAGTCATAAGTTTCTGTGGTATCACTAAATTTCTAAAAGTCGTAACAGAATTGTAGAACTAACTGTATAAAGTAACAATATTTTCTAATATGTACTTTTTGACATAACAAGAAACCATCTTATCCCTCTAGCTCGCATTCTTTACTAAAAGGAACAAAAAGCTCCAAAGAGAAATGGCCAACTCCAAATCTTCCACAGGGAATGTACACAACCTGCTCACCTTGTTGAGCCAGCAGACAAGAACATTTTAAAACAATGATGAAGTTCTACCAAGATAACTCAGGAAACAGCCTGAAAGTACTCCAATTAACCAAACTTGTGACAAACCTCAGCAACAAAAGACCACTGATAGTAATGGATTGAGCCCACTAAAACAATGAAAATCCTGAAGTATAGAAAGATGCTAAAAAAAAAAAAAGAGGAAGCCAGAAACAAAGGTTTTTATAACTACCTGAAATAAACATTAAAATAATCTCTTATTTACAAACTGATAAAGTGAAATTAAGCATTTGTTCTGACATCAAAATAGTTAACTAAAATGTAACCACCATACTGGGTGTGGTGTGCAGGCCTATAATCCAAGCACTGGGAAGGCTGAGGCAGAAGTTTTGAGGCCAGCCTGGGCAGTAGTTTATTCAAGTATAATTTGAACTACATAGCAAGACCCTATCTGAAAAACACAAAATAAATAAATAAATTATAACCAAGGAGATCTGCCTAATGAAAAAGAATCTACATTTGAAGAATAAAGAATACAGATTAACAAAACAGAAAAAATTATAAACCCTAATGAGATTACTACTTTAGACAAAAATAATCCACTGGGGTAGGTATTTGTGGTAAAAATGGTGCCAAAAAATACCACACAGATTATTTTCTGGTCACGAGAGAGAAACATAACTATTCAATGGAGAGATCGGACTGTCCTCTTCAAAACTAGTAGTCAGGGCTGGGGATTTAGTTTAGTGGCACAGCAAGTGCAAAGCCCTAAGTTTGATCCCCAGTACCAAAAAAGCCCCCCAAACACTACTAGTCAATCTCAGCTTCGGTAGGGGTAAAATAGTGAAACAGCATATCACTTTTAACACTGTGCAACATGAAAAACGTCATCTGTAATATATTCTAACCTGAAGTATCTATTTTAAAATTACCAGATTGCAGAAACATAAAATGGTAAGAGCTAAATGACACAAAAAGGATTCAAGAAGAGAAAACCAAAACATGACTTTCCATAAGACAGCTAACTTGACCTCTTATAAAATAGCAACTACAGTACATTTAATGAGAATTAAAGAACATGTTAACCAAATGCAATATGCAGTCCTGGATTCATTATTGTTTTTTGTTTGGTTTGGTTCGGTTCGGTACCGAGGATGGAAGTCAGGCACTTGCACTTGAGAGGCAGGTGGCTGGAACCACTGAGCCAAATGAGACATTGTTTCAAAATAAAATTTAGAAAGGGTTAGTGATGTAGCTTAGTTGTAGAGTGCTTATCTAGCATGAATTCAATCCCCAATACTATTTAAAAAAAAAAAAAAAAAGAAAAAAAAAAAAGGAAAAAAAGAAAGGAAAAGGGAAAAGAAAAGAAAACCAGTACCACCACCCCCAAGATCTAAAAGAAATATAGCTCCTAATGCTGTATCTCAGTACCTTGAAAGCCTATTTTTCATCTGGCAACTGCCTAAAGAAAATACGTAACAGAAGAAATGTTGCATTTTTTTTTTTTTTTTTTTTTTTTTTTTAACTCACTATGTAGCCCAGGTTGGTCTCAAACTCACAGCAATCCTCCTGCCTCAGCTTCCCGAGTGCTGGGATTACTGGCACGCGCCACCACGCCCGGCGCATTTCTAATCATTTTAAGTGCTATGATGGAGGATGCTATTGGAGTGCATGTCTACAATACAAGAAATAAATTTATAGCTAGTTGTGGTGGCAGTCACTTATAATCCCAGCACTCTGAAAACTGAGGCAGGAGGACCGTAAGTTTAGGCCATGTCTGGGCAACTTAGTGACTAAGCAAAGAACCTGTCTCAAAATAAAAAATGGGGATTTGGGGATTTAGCTCAGTGGTAGAGTACTTGGGTAGCAAGTGTGAGGCCCTGGGTTCAGTCATTAGCACCAAAAAATTAAAACATAAATAAAAAATTTAAAATGGGCTGGGGGGCTGGAGATTTAGCTAAGTGGTTCCACCACTTACCTTGCACGCACAAGGTCCCAAGTTCGATCCCCGGTACCAAAAAACAACAACAATAAAACGGGCTGGAGATGTAACTCAGTGGAAAAGCCTTGGGTTTAATCTCCAGTGTCACAAAATAAGTTTATGACACTGACCAATTCCAGGGAAATTTTATGGCATGTCTCTGACCAGCCATCCATTTCACCCCTATTCTCTTTTAACTTCCTACTAAAGTTCCTTTGATCACCAAAGGGGATGAGTTTATTCATTTAAAGTGTACTTTTTCTTTCTTTTTTTGGTACCAGGGATCAAACTTGGAACCTTGGTGCTTGCAAGGCAGGAGGCAGAACCAATGAGCTAAATCCCCAGCCCACAAAGATACCAGTAATTTTTGTTTTGTTTTGTTTGGGTTTTTTGGTTTTTTTTGGTACCAGGGATCAAACTCAGGACCTTGCATTTTCAAAGTGCACTTTATAGATTAATGTGCAATAATTATCCATGATAGTTAACAGTGATATATCTGATGCTTTCTACTTTTCAAGAAGCTGTATCATCAATTTTAAATAAAAGGAAAAGAAGATGTATATTCATGTAGTCCAATGTACTGTGTCTGTAACGGATACAAAACTGGGGAACCGCCTTGCAACTGTTGCATGACAATATAAATTTATTATCTCACAAAGGCCAATGGGGCTCCACTAAGTATAAAATTGAGGCATTAGCCAGGGCTGTGGTTCTCCTCCAGATCAGGTGTATGCTAGGCAAGTGCTGGAGGACTCTTATAAGTTCACTGGTTGTTGGCAGAATTCATTGCCTCCTCACTTCAAGCCAGCAGTGGGACAGTGAAATCTTCTCATGCTTTGGTTTCTGATTTCCCGCTGTATACCTCCTAGAGAAAGCACTCTGCTTTTAAGGGCTCATGTAGTTAGATCAGACCCACAAGGTAATCTTTCCATCTTAAGATAAACTGTGTCATCCCATATAATACAATATAACCAGAAGTATGATGTCAGCATAATCACAGCTTTGGGGATTAGGCTGGGGGGGTCTTGGGGTGGGAGCATTTTCAGAATTGACTAGTATAGCCACAAAAAATTGTAACTATCAATTAAAATACCTTACCTGTTAATAATGAACCATGCAACAGTAAGCATTCCTGCTAGCCATGTTCCACTCATAAGCCAACTTGTAACAAATAAAGCAGTAACATATATTCCTTGCAATCCAAAAACAATGCCAATATAGAAATACATAGGCTCAATAATCTCCTAAATGGAAAAAAGGGGGTAATAATAGGATGACAATCAACAATTTGAGGGTTCATAAGTGTGAGAAAAATAGTAAGAAAAAAAATACATACAAAGAAAAATACATACATTGCTACCAGTTGCTTGATATAAAACACTGGCAATAAGTTCTGGATAAAGTGACATTTGCTGCACTGCATTTATAGTCTTCAGAGATACAGTTTTGTTATTGTGTGTCAGCTCGTAGATGCCTAAAGACAGATTTTTCTCCAGATTATTTATTCTGCTTTTAAAATAATTGAATAAGCATGGTATTCATTGGCCATCCAATATACTATTAAGAAAGATCCCAAAATACAATACTCCATGCCTAATCTGTTCAATGTTTTTACCAAGTATGAGAGAAATACCTACTCTCTGAGACAAATCTCCATATTCTAAGGCTCCAATATTGAAGAACAACATTTATTCTAGGAAAATACTGTTATTATAAATACAACTTTCATCATACCTCTCTCAAATGAAGGCGCCTTTAACATATCTTTATAATAGGAGTAATAAATAGCACTGTCACCCTGAAATGTGATTTCCCGTTCAAGTTCCTAAAATAAAATGAAATGAGTATTTAAATACCAATATATTAAATTTCAGCAGTAATCTTCCTTTTCCCTTAACTTCCATATTAACATATCTACTGTTTTATTCAGATGTGTTTGAATTTTCCTTAATCCGTAGCCATATTAATAAGGTTAAACTTTTTAATAATCTAACAATCATTTTAATGAAACAATTCAGGATGCAAATAAATTAAAATTCATAAATCACCTATTTTCTGTATAAGGAAAAATTTTTTTTTTTTTTTCAAACTCAGGACCTTGCGGTGGCAAGGCAGGCAGCAGCACTGAGCTAAATCCCTGGCCCTGTACAAGGAAAATTCAGAAGGAATATCCTAAAAAATAGTAAGACAAGTAATAACAAGTGATAGTTGCAGGGTCACAAGTCCATAATAAAAACATAAACTTCAGAAGAAAGTAGTATTTTCTATTATTATTCCATGTCCTTATGTATCCTGGACAGCAAATCCTTAATTAGCACTTTAGAGGGGCAGGTACTGTACTTAACTAGGGGTTTTCAAATCAACTTCCAGTAACACAACCAAGACTTAAAATTCTTAAAATGAGGCTATTAAGAAAGAAGAATGAGAGCCAGGGATTTAGCTCAGTGGTTCGGTGGCCTGCCTTGCAAGCGCAAGGACCTGAGTTCAATCCCCAGTACCCAAAAAAAAAAAAAGGAAGAATGAAGGGCCGGGGGTTTAGCTCAGTGGTGCCACTGCCTGCCTTGCAAGCTCAAAGACCCAAGTTCAATCCCCAGTCCCCCCGCAAAAAAAGAATGAAGAATGGAGTACTTGAAAATATGCTAAATTAAACTTTCATGAATCCATATCCTTTTTAAAAATCAAATGATTTCTTTTTATGTATAATACAGGCTTGAGGGCCGGGGATTTAGCTCAGTGGTTCGGTGGCCTGCCTTGCAAGCGCAAGGACCCGAGAGTTCAATCCCCGGTACCAAAAAAAAAAAACAGGCTTGACCATCCCTAACCCAAAATCTGAAATCTTACATGTTGCAAAATCCAAAACTTTTTGTGAGCCAATATGATGCCACAGTGGACATTTCCACACCTGACCTCGTGTGACAGGTTGTATTCAAAATGCAGGTGCATTAAAAACACTTTTTTTTTTTTTGGTTTTTTTGAGAAAGGGTCTATGTAGTTGAGACTGCCCTGGAACTCACTATGTCTCGAACTCACAGCGATTCTCCTGCCTCAGCCTCCCGAGTGCTGGGATTACCACCTTGCCCAGCTTAAAAACACTTTATAAAATTAGCCAGAGGCAACATGTATAAAGTATGTATGAAATATAAACAAATTTCATGTTTAGATTTACGTCTTACCCAAGATATCCCATGATGTATATATAAATACTAACTCAAAAAATCTTCAAAATCTAAAACACTTCTCGTTCCAAACATTTCAGAGAAGGGAAATTCAATCTATATTTACCAATTAATACAAAGACAAAAGCTATTAGGGCAGTTTTTCCAAAGTCTGGACTTCCTAAGATGTTAATGGATATTACTTGGAGTTCTGTAGTTTTTTTTTTGTTTTGTTTTTGGTACCGGTGATCAAACTCGGGTCCTTGTGCTTGCGAGGCAGGCAGCAACAACACTGAGCTAAATCCCCAGCCCTGTAGTTAAATTTTGAGATAGGCTGAATTAAACAAAATTAAATGAGTTCTTTTTTGTGTGTGTGCAGAATTTTTCAAGAGTTTCAGTCTATGTTATGCATTGTGAATCTCTAAGAGGAAGTCTTTCTCTAAGTCTATTTAACTGATGACCTCTTTTTTCCCACTTAGTGCTTGCTATGGTCTAGATGCTTATGCCTCCCAAAATTCATATGCTGAAAACTAATCCCCAGTGAGATGGTATTTGAAAGTTGGGTGCCAGGTATGGTGGCGCACATGCCTGTTATCCCAGCACTTGGGAGGCTGAGACAGGAGGATTACTGTGAGTTTGAGACCAGCCTGGGCTACAAAGTGAGTTCCAGGGGAGTCTCAACTACATAGTGAGACCCTGTCTCAAAAACCCAAAAAAAAACCAGAAAGAAAGCGGGGTATCTGGAAGTTAATTAAGTCATGAAAACAAAGCCCTCGTGATCAGGATTAGTGTCCTTATAAGAGAGGACTCAGAATGATCAAAGGTCTCCAAAAGAACCTTTGCCCCTTCTGCAGGGAAGACATAGCAAGAAGATGGCTCGCTATGATCTGAGAAGTAAGTCTTCCTAGAATTCAAGCTGCTGGTGCATCCTCCTGGACTTCCAGCCCCAGTTCAGGGTATTTTGTTATGACAGCCTAAATGGACTAAGAGCTTATTAACTAAATAAATTACTTTAAAATGATTCTTAAATGGAAAAAACATTTGTTTCTTGCCAGGATTTTAAAAATTAAACTCTCAATCATTGCTTCTTAAATTTGCAGTGCATCTGAAACATCTAGAGACCTTACAAAATCCTAAGAGGGGGAGACCTGAGACGCTGCCATTCTGAACATGCTGCCAGGTGGTGTACTCTTGGCCCATATGTGATACTTTGAAACCCAAAGTGCTTGACAATTATCATTTATATTCTCAAACCTTTCGTTGGTCTCAGTTCTGTCCCTTTCCCCAAACTAAGAATCTGAGAGGGGAGGATATTTTCTGAAAGCTGCACAGATGACTCAATCACACAACTGGTATTGAGATTGATAGAGCTAGCTAACCAGCTAGTAGCTAGCTAGCTATCTATATTTTAGTACTATTCTTTCCATCTATCTATATTTTAATACTATTCTTTCCATCTCTCTACCTATATTTTAGTACAGGGACCAAATCCAGAACGTCATCTAGGGCCGGTGATGTACCTCAGCGGTTCCACCGCCTGCCTTGCAAGCGCAAGGACCTGAGTTTGATTCCTGGTACCAGAAAATTCTCAGAACATCATCCATGTTGGACAAGCACTCTATCACTGAGCACTGAGTCACACTCCAGCCCTCTCCATGACACATTAAGGAAAAGCATATGCTAGTGTAATAGCTTAATCAACACATGTGTAGCCAGGAATTATTGAGTTAAGTGTTTTGGTGGTGGTAGATAAATCAATGGCAAAAAATATTCAGTCATCTTCACTACTTTCACTACTTCCTCAAAATTAGGAACAATGACATCTCGGTCTGAGCTCCAAACTAAAAACTGTAAGTCAAGTGACCTTCGAAAGCAAACTTATATAACAACAGTGACTAAAGCGTCTGTAAATTACACACAATTCAAAATCAAACATTGGGCCAAGGATTTAGCTCAGTGGTGCTGTCCCCTGCCTCGAAAATGCAAGGTCCCAAATTTGAACCCTAGTACAAAAAAAACAAAAACACCAAACATTAAACGGCAATATAAGAGATGGGTGAGGTGGTACATGCCTGGAACCTCAGCACTTGGAGGCTGAAGCAGTAGGATTGCTTTGCATTCGAGGCCAGCATGGACTACACAGTGAGTTCAAAATTAGACTGAACTACATACCGAGACCCTGTCTCAAAAATAAAACAGAAACCCAGTAATATGAGGCAACATCTTCATAGATACTATTTTCTGCCTATTACTCATTTTCAACCTCCCAAATTCTAACCATGTAATCTAAACATTAAAATATTTTAATGCTGGAATGTCCACAGATGGTTTCCAAAATGTGAGCTATAAAAATTACTACAAGGTTGACTAAACTTCGTAACATTTCACTGTTACTGAAAGTCTCTGTAGGATTCAGCTTGACCTTAATGCAGTGATCCTGAGACATAACTACCACAACTGCTCTCTACAGTTTCCCAGCATATAACTAGTATACATAGTTTCCCTGACACAATCAGAGTATACAATTAAGGTGGTTTATGAAGCTTTACAACCGGGACCCTGGCATTGTCAGCACCAGGAACGTGCCTAATGTCCTTGAAATTAGCTCAAGATAAACCAGGTACATTCTGGCTAGGATGAAGCCACTTTTATCCTGACCATTACATAAACCCCTCTCTCCCCCTTCTGATCCAAATCACAAAAACCCACCTGTCTTGCTGACCACCTATGACATGCATCTGTCCCTGAGTCCCCCAATAAATTATACTCAGTTGCAACCCTGGGTCTGTCTGCCTCTTTCTTCAGTCTCATAACATCTAGCAGCCAGTTTTTGTCTGCTAGGACCAGGTTTTTCCAGAACAGTCTCTGAAAAATTAATTGTACAGAGCACCTTCCAAACTTCTACTCTGTGAAGAATCCTATGACAATGACAAAGAGAACTTCTGTAAACAGTGTGAAATCTACAGAATGTTAAGGTAGTATAGAATAATCACTGTCTTTTGCTTCTGTAATTTGCTTTGCTTTGCTTGTTTCTTAGTACAACAGTATCGGAGATCTCATCACTAACTACAAAGCTCAAAGGCAGCAGACCCAGGGTGAGACCAGCTGTTCAAACTAAGATAACAATTGCCATGCATAGCTAACTGGGTGAATCCTAAAAAGAAACATCCTAGCCACAAAGATGCTACACTTGGTCTAAAATTAAATTGTCCTGTGACCCTGAGTGATTGTACATGTGATGGGAACTGAGCGAGCTGGACTGTCTTATCAAACTATCTAAGATGAGGTCATGATTGTAAAACGCCTATAAAAGACAGATTGTAACCCATCTGGGTCTACCATATGGCACAGCCTTTGGTGCAGGGCGACCCTTTGCTAGCAAAGTAACCAATTTGTTTTACCCATTTGCTGTCTCTGTGCATCACTTACCAGTTCCTTCTGCAACAACGTATCTCAAGGTGGATGCTGTGACTATTTTCTCAAAAGAACTTCCACAGCATTTTGTTTCTAATAGCTGTAAATAAGTATTTGTCCCCAGAAAACACACGAGTCAAATTAATATTAAAAGTCGGGTATGGTGGTGCACACCTATAATCCCAGCACTCAGGAGGCTGAGGCAGGAGAATTCTTGTGAGTTCGAGACTAGCCTGGGCTACACAGTGAGTTCCAGATCAGTCTCAACTACACAGTGAGACCCTGTCTCAAAACACCAAAACAAAACACTCAAATTAATATTAAATACTAAATCACCTTTCATATGCTCAAATTTCTTTGTGCTTACCTGCCTGTTGGAAAACCAGAATTTCCGTTCATGGAATGCGGATAAGTAGAATGCATACATCATACCACTAGTAACTGCAGCAAGACAGCCAATGAAAATCTTTGCAAAACGCTGAAATATTACATCTGAAAAAGTATATTAAAAGTAATCAAAAGATATGTACTATAGATGTGATGTGATAAAAACAGCACTCTAACTCAGTAGTTTCTCTCCCAAAACCCATGACTCTAAGCTAATCATGAAAAAAAAAAAAAATCAGATAAATCCCAACAGAGAGGGAACCAACAGTCTACTTACTAGTCCTCAAGACTGTCAGTCATCAAAATAAGAAATCTGTAAAACCTGACATAGCCAAGGGAGTCCAAGAAATCATGACAACCAAAAGTAATGTGGTATCTTCTATGCAGTCCGAAAAAAGAACATTAGGTAAAAATCAAGGAAATCTGAATAAATCACGGGTCTTAGTTAATAAAAATGTATAGGGCCGGGGATTTAGCTCAGTGGTGTTACTGCCTGCCTCACAAGGCCAAGGACCGGAGTTTGACTCCAGTACCAAAAACAAACAAACAAACAAAAAACAATGCATCAAAATCAGTTTCTTAAATTGTAGCCAATGTACCACACAAGTGTAAAATGTCAATACTGGGAAGCCTGTGTGTGGGAGAGTATAATGTAAGAATTCTGTACTATCTGCTCAATCCTGTATAATTCAGCATGGTTCCAAAAGTTAAAGTCTAGTAGCCGAGCATGGTGGCACGTGCCTGTAATCCCAGCACTCAGGAGGCTGAGGCAGGAGGATCGCTGTGAGTTTGAGACCAGCCTGGGCTACATAGTGAGTACCAGGTCATTCTCAACTACACAGTGAAGGCCTGTCTCAAAAAAACCAAAAAGAAAAAAAAAATTAGACTCTATAGTCTGCAAGACAAAAGGGTCTGGACATCTGTTTCACAACAAGATAAATATGCTTAACACTACTGAACTGTACACTTAAAAACAGTTAAGGGCTGGGGATTTGGCTCAGTGTTTCTGCCACCTGCCTCACTAGTGCAAGGACCTGAGTTTGATCCGCGGTACAAAAAAAAAAAAAAAAAACAAAAAACAGTTAAGATGGTAAAAAAGTTAATATCCATTAATTTTGAAAATTAATCAATTATATGGCTGGGTGTGGTGGCACATGCCTATAATCCCAGCACTCAGGAGGGTGAGGCAAGTGAATTGCAATGAGTTCAAGGCCAGCCTGAACTGCATAGCAAGATCCTGTCTAAAAAAAAACAAAAACAACTAGTTAAATACAATGTCCAAAAGAAAAATATATGAAAAAATGGAAATAAAGTGTTTGCAAATGGGGAAGGGAGGAGGGGGTAAAGGGAGGGCAGGGACAATGGGAAAAAATGAGAACCAAGACCTGTCGTGTAAAGGTACACGATCCCAATAATGAATGTAACTGTACTGTATACCTAAAATGTACCAATAAACTCAATGGGAATAAATACATACATACATACATACCATGTCCAATATTTAAAGTATGCTGGCCATAGTAGTACACACCTGCAATCCCAGTACTGTGGGAAGCTGAGGCAAGAGGACTACAGATTCAAGCCTAGCCTGAACAATTTAGCTATTTAATGGAACACTGCCTGAAAATTTTTTTTATTTTCCTTTTTGTTTGTTTGTTTGTTTGAGACAGGGTCTCACTATGTAGTTGAGACTGACCTGGAACTCACTATATACCCCAGGCTAGTCTCAAACACACAGTGATCCTCCTGCCTCAGCCTCCTGAGTGATGGGATTACAGGGGTGTACCACTATGCGTGGCTTATTTTCCATTTTTGAGACAGGGTCTCATGTAGTTCAGGGTGGTCTTGAAGTCACTATGCAGCCCAGGCTGGGCTCAAACCTGTGACAGTCCTTGCCTTTCAACCTCTGCAGTGCTGGTAATATAGGGTATGCCACACCTGGACTGTCTTTTGGTCACCTGAAGGCTCAGGCTCCTCTACACAGCCTTCAAAGTCTCTCTTCTGTATACAGGCAGATCTCAGGTCTCATGTAGTTCAGGGTGGTCTTGAAGTCACTATGCAGCCCAGGCTGGGCTCAAACCTGTGACAGTCCTTGCCTTTCAACCTCTGCAGTGCTGGTAATATAGGGTATGCCACACCTGGACTGTCTTTTGGTCACCTGAAGGCTCAGGCTCCTCTACACAGCCTTCAAAGTCTCTCTTCTGTATACAGGCAGATCTCAGTGTCCTTAAACAGACACTGGCCTGGGATTTCTCAATCAACTCTGCACAGGAAAGGATGTTGTAATATTCCTTCAGAACTCTTTAAGGGATAAATCTGTATCTGAGACCAGATGGAAGGACAGGACAAAGGGCCAGCATTCAGGTCTTAACTCAAGGCTCTGGTCCTAAGTTAAAACTAAAATTCCGGTCACAAACTAAGTTGTTCATATGTCAGGCTCGTCATAACTTGAGGGCCCACTGCAGCTCACCATGAAAGCTTCCCAGTACAGAAAGAGAAAGTAAGTGGGGGGCCCTCCAAGTGTAGGGGAATTCTTCCAGGAAGCGGTATAATAAATTGTCTTGGATAATGAAACTATTCCATAGCTTGTTTTGGTTATATTAATGTCAAAACTCATTTAATCAAATACCTAAGATTCTGTTCATTTAATTATATGTTAATTTTACTCAATTTTGGGGCCAGGGATTTAGCTTAGTGGTTCCACCTCCTGCCTCGCAAGTGCAAGGTCCTAAATTCAATCCCCAGTATTAAAAATTTTACTCAATTTTACTAATTAGGGACTGAAGGTATAGTGACATAGCTCAGTGATAAAGAATATGTATTTTGCATGTATAAGGTCCTAAGTTCCATACCTAATATGAAAAACAAAAACAATTAGCTTTAGCATAAAAATATTTTATTGGCTTTTTATCTTAATTCCAGTCAGCCCTAGTTACAACAATTGCATCCACAAGTTTTTTCTAGATATAGCTTGTAAGAGCCTAATTACATATAGTTTAAGCTCATCAAACTTTTGTAAGCCAACAGACTTAGTTCTTTTCCCTCAATTCTATGTCCAATTAAAAGGATTTAGTAGGAAATACCTTCATTCGTGTATCTGTTTTTTTTTGTTTGTTTTGTTTTGGTACCAGGGATTGAACTCAGGACCTCGCCTTTGCAAGGCAGTGTGCAGAACCACTGAGCTAAATCCCTGGCCCTTCTTGATATTTGTTTGTTTGTTGAGACAGGGACTCATTGGGAGAGAATTTTGAAAGCTTGTGTTTGGTTTATTACAGCCCTCACCCCATAGATCTTTTCCTTTTGCTGATTCGTTTTTAATTATTCACTATTATAAATCAACTATAAATACAACTGTATCCTGGAATCTGTGAGTCTTCCATGCTTGTCACTGAACATGGGGTAACCCTGGGGTCTGAGTGATTCAGAGCTGGCCCTGGTGTACAGCTCAGATTCATGCTGAGGAGATAAAACTGAGTCTTCCTTAAGGTGGGGGAGGTAATGACTGCATTCTATCTGAGAAAAGGGAGTAAATATTTATGATCACAAAGACAGACTTGATCATTACTCCCAACTATTTTCTCTTTCCCTATAGAAATATTACAGGAGGTGGGGATTAGGTCAGTGGTAGAGTATGTGTTCAGCACACACACAATGTTAGGTTAGATCCCGGGTATGAGGAAACAAACGAACGAATGAATAAAAATAGTATTCATTTCTGCCCACTACCATGTGACTTGCAGTGCTTTCCTGTAATCAGCACTCACTTCTGCATCCCATGGTCTGGATCGACTATGACCTCTGGGGCTGACAAGATGGAGTATAAGCAACAGGGGCCAGTTCAGCAGAAACCTGAAGAGGTGCCACAGGGCTCTGCCTACTCCTCTGCTCTTTTCCTCTGCCCAAGAAAAAAATGCCCAAATAAAGGCTGTTCCTTTATAACACATGAAGCTACACTAGCTACCTGAGGCCACAACATGTGGTATACATCAGAAATAAATGTCTACTATAAGGCAGTGATGCTTAGTGGTTGCTCTCTGATGGACACAAAACTGAATAAAGTTGAAAATACGTTCATATATTTTAAAGTACTAAAACATTCTCTCTCTTTTTTTGAGAGGTCATATTCTATAATTTAAACTGGCTCTGAACTCACTATGTACCTCAGGCTGGCCTCAAACTCAGAGATCCTCCTGCCTCAGCTTCCCCAATGCTACGATTAAAGGCATGTAACACCACATCCACCCAAAACATACTTTTGATCATGACTATTTTTGCAATAATAGTAAAACTTCAAATCTAACTTACATTTTGGAGCTCTTTCAGGAATTGGAGTGTCACTGATTTTCTCTTCTTTGGCAGATTCCTTATTTTCTGAAGACTTTGGCTTTTTTCTTTGGCATAGTTCTACAGTTGGACCTTAAAATACACAAGACATTATTACAACAGTGTGTCAGTAATCTGTAACCCACGTTCATTGACTTTTACTATATTAAATCAGAAATCACACTGAGACCGATTAGTAGCAAAATTTTTAAATAATTATATTAGCACCCCCTGCACATTATCTTTAGTACGAAAAAAAGTCAGTATGGGCTCTTTCCCTCCCTGTTTTCAGAGTTCTATTGATAAGCCAACAAGCTTTTCTCTGGAGATTTGTTTTTTAACTTTTCAAATTATTTTTATTAAATTTATTGGTACATAATGATTTTCTAGGATCACCATGAGCTTAAGGCCAGCCTGAACTACAAAGTGAGACCCTGTCTCGAAAAAAGATATCATACTGAAGACTAGGCAAATAATTGTGCTTATGATTGTTAGGCCTTAAAAAAACGAGTTTAATTTTGATAATTTTAGGGTTTGACAGTGATGTGTTAAATCAAAAGGGCCAGGGATAAAGCTCAGTGGTTCCGCCACCTGCCTCACAAGCACAAGGTCCCAAGTTCAATCCCCAATACAAAAAAAAAAAAAAATTCCATTGCCAAGGATGACTGGCTGAAACTATGAAATGTGATGGGCAAACACAGTGAATGTTAAACTACAGAAATTCCAGCAAAACACATACTGCCTTTAACTCTCCTCCTCTCACAACACTCCGGCTTGCTTCACACAAACTTATCCCGTGGTTCTTGCCACTCGGAAGCCATCCTGGAAGTCCTCTTTAGTGAGTGATTTCAGTTGGGTTAACTGGCTGCCAAGTTGTCCCAATGCACTATAAAACATTTATTTACCTTTCAAGGTCATTTTGAGTTTGGGAAAGAGCCAGAAGTAGCATGGTGCCAGCAATGTAATGTCTTTATTAAAGAGAAATTGCCATAAACATTTTAAACTGATTGAGGACATCAAGGGAGCGGCTAAAAGACACTCAGAGGACCTTCAGAACTGCTTGAAGAAATGTCAGTAACCATGGAATAAGTGTCTTCAAAGAATATGTGGTAGAGTATTTTGAGAGAGTAATGGCAATGTGTCTTTTAGTGTAATAGATTTTTTTAAAAAATACACATTCAGTGTAGTTTTCTTTCACACTCTGTATCCTGTTTGCTGATGCTGTCATTTTCATAGTTATGATTTGCTACAACGCCGACTGTGTTAAAGATAAGCACCCATTCCCTCACCAAGGGTATGCCCAGCTGATTGCCAGAGGGCAACATTTTGACTCTTAATCTGGACACTGGGTTAAAAAAATTATAAAATGGTTTGATTATTTCTCTTTCCCAGTTTGATTCTTAAGCTTTCTCAAATCTTTGAGAGAAGGGTTTGTGTTCAGAACTTGTTGAGACTGCTTATACAATCACTTTGGAGTCACAACAAGAAACTATATTTCATCTTAAAATGTATTGTACAAGGGTACGTGACTGGGGAACAGCAGCACAAGCCGGTAGTAGAGGCTCTCTGGGGAACGAAGCAGGATTGCCAGTTCTAGGTGAGCTTGGGCTACACAACAGATTTAAAGCCAGATAGGACTAATAGTGAGATTGTCTCCAAAAAAATTATGTTATAAACGCTAAAAGTATTGAAATGATACAAATTTGGGGGGTTTTGTTTTTTGGGTTTTTTTTTTTTTGTTTTTTTGGTATTGGGGATTCAAACTCTGGTCCTTGTGCTTGCAAAGAAGGTGGTAGAACCACTGAGCTAAATCCCCTGCCTAAAATGATACAAGTATCGAAGCAAACTTTCAAATGTGTTTTTCATTAATGTTATCCAACCAATTGTTTCTAAAATTGAATGTAACACAGAGTTCTAAAAGTATCCAAACAACAGAGATTTATTAAGCAGTTTGTATGTGATTTATTACTTCATGATTATGACTTGAAAAGTAAATGTTCCAATGGGAAGAGAAACAAGGGGAGGGGATGGGAAGGAGGGGAAAATGAATAGATGGGAAAATGTAAACAAAGCTTTTGTAAAAGGGGAGAGGAAGAAGGGTTGAAGGGAGAGGAAAGAAATGGGGAAAAAAGAATCAAGATAAACCATGCATAGGTACAAATTCTCTATGAATCCGCGTGCTGGGATTACAGGTGTGTGCCACTGGCTGAGATGCTATTTATTAATTTATTTACTTAGAACAAAATATTTACTGGTGAGGTGCTATTTTAAAATATTCCAAGATTGGGCTGGGGATTTAGCTCAGTGGTTCCGCCGCCTGCCTTGCAAGCGCAATGACCTGAGTTCGATCCCCAGTACCAAAAAAGAAAAATTCCAAAGTAAGTACTTTTTTTCCAGAATGACTGGAGGACAAGATATTATTTAGTTCCCTATCAAATACATCAGTCATGCATTAACAATTAAAAAAGAAAAAATACAATTGATCATAAAACTATATTTTGTGCATTTTAAAAAATAACCCTAATGGGAAGGGGAAGAAAGGAGAGGGGAGGGGGGAAAGGAAGGGACAAAAAAAGAATAGAAGGGAAAAATAGAAATAAAGCTTTTGTAAATAAGGAGAGGAAGAGGGGTTGAAGGAAAGGATGGGGAATGGGAAAAAAGCAGCAGCAGCAAGATGTATCATGTACAGGTACAAATTCCCTAAGAGAAATGTTATTATTATATATATTTGAAATGTTGCCAATAAGTGTTTTACTTCAAGAAAAATAAAAAAATAATTTTAGCCAGGCGTGATGGCGCACACCTGTAATCCCAGCACTCAGGAGGCTGAGGCAGGAGGATCACTGAGTTTGAGACCAGCCTGGGCTACATAGTGAGTTCCAGGTCATCTTAACACATAGTGAGATCCTGTCTCAAAAAACTAAACTCCCCCCACCCCCCAAAAATGCAAAGGTTACCTGCAAACCACTAACATGAATTCCAGATTAAACAGGAATTTACTACAGATAATGTAACTACTTTTTTTCCCCCAACTTAATTATCTTTTGTTTGTTTGTTTGTACTGGGGATCGAACTGGGGACCTTGCACTTGCAAGACCCAACTTAATTATCTTGTGTGGTAGATGACTAGTATAAGTTCAGAATGTCCCAGTTATGCTTTTTGGGAGGGGGCTGGGGATCAAACTTGGGTCCCTGCACTTGCAAGACATGCAGAACCACTGAGCTAACTAAACCCCCAGCCCCTAGGTTAAGCTTTGAAAAGGGTCCAGGAATTGGTCTCTTGTAGGAGTAGAAGACAGTTTTTCTTGCCTCTTGATGACTAAACTATAAAATATGAGTCTAAATAAATGAATCAAAAAAGGAGAAATGAATCAGCTACTGCTGCTGTTGTTCAGATGGATGGTTCTCTAGCTTTACTGTGAAAAATGAACAAATGTATTTTTTAAAACCTGATATGAAATAAATATCTTTAAATACTATGACAGTTAAGACTAAAACTGTACATTTAGTGTGTGTGTGTGTGTGTGTGTGTGTATGTGTGTGTATAGGTACCAGGGATCAAACTCAAGACCTTGCACTTGCGAGGCAGGCGCAGTGCCATTGAGCTAAATCCCCAGCCCCTACATTTAGTATATTTTATCCACTTCTAGTCTACTATTTATTTTGTAGTCAGTTTAAGTAGTAAAGCCAGTGAAATGAAATTATTAGAAAAGCCAAAGCTTGGATTAGGTCTATTTTTGCATACAAATCTGGGTCAATGAATAAATAACACCATATTCCTTTTCCATGATGCTTTTTTAATTTTCCCTTGTTCTGAGGCAAGCCAAAAAGCAGATGCAATCAACAGAAATGAATATCTATATGAAGTCAAATAAAATCTTCCAAAGAAAGCTATTATTTTTACAGTTTAAAAGATACAAGTTTACTTACTAGTTACACCTGCATGATTATGTACATTAACTGTATCGAACTTCATTTCGTTGGATAATTTCAGAAGTCAGCTTAACAAAGTTGACACAGTTACTGAACCTGTGATACAGGACTAATAGACGAGCTATGTAGGTAGGTCTTTTCTTTTCTTTCCTTTTTTTTTTCCCCCTTTTTTCTGGTACTAGGGATCAAACTCCCTAGCAAGGCAAGCACCAGAACCACTGAGCTAAATCCCCAGCCCAGTAGGTCTTTTCCATTAAACAGGGTCTAAATATATACAGTAAGACAAAGATAAGTCGGGAAAAGAATATTCACATAAAAATGGTAGGGAAGGTGGGAGGTAACTTATTGGCAGAGTGCACAAAGCCCTGAGTTCAATCCCTAGCACTTTCCCCACAAGTGTTCTTACAAAAAAACCTATCATTTTCTTTTCTAAAATGTTCTTTACTGAATAAGACATTTTACAGGAACAATTAAAGTGTTCTCTTTGTGCACATAAATGGATTTTATTTATAAAAGTACAATTTACACAAAATTTGCATATATTCCTAAATAATTTATGAAGTATACAAATCATAATAGTTATCTCTCAAGAATCTATATAATACCAATGATCAAGGAATACACAAATAAATGACAATGGATCTATAAGACATTATTTTCTGTAATGCCACATATTTTAAGGTACTATTTAGTAACAGTTTTACAAGGGGAAAAATACCACTATTGCATGTTGGATGCATGCACTGATTTTAAGACATGTCAATTTTAGTGGCATTAAACTGTGGGAGCAAAAAAATATGACATGGAACAATATTGACTTTAGCCAAATTCCTCAAGTTTGCCCCAAAGCTAACTTTCTGCCGGCCACCAAGAAACAAAACTGAATGGGTGCACATTTCACCTCATTTCCTTTTACTGGACTTATAAGCTCTTAATTGAAAGAGGAAGCTTCCAGCTAGGATACACCCAGCTCAATGGTAGAGTGCTTAGGCTCTACCTTTGATTCCCCCAGCTCTGACAAAATAAATAAAAGAAAAGAAAAGGAGAGCCAGGGATGTAGCTCAGTGCACAAGGTTCCGAGTTTGATCCCTAGTACCATAAACAAAAAAGGAGAAAGCCACACATATCTATGTGTGGAAAATAATAAGGTCAAAGCCAATAGGCCAACTGATTAAGTCTGATAGGAAAGATCAGGAATAGAACTCAAGTTTCCTTTTCACTACCTTATGATTGATTATAGCATTTAAAGAAAAAGCCAAACTAAATGAAGATGATTACACAGCCACGAAGATAATTTGCTATTTCAGGCTCTAGCCTAGTGTTCTTCACTTGATTCTTGTTTTGTTTTGTTTTGTTTTGTTTTGTTGGTACCAGGGATAGAACTAGGATCACTGTGCTTACCAGGCAGGCGCCGGAACCACTGAGCTTAAATCCCTGGCCCTCGTCACTTGAAATAGCAGGGCTGAAAGAGGCTTGCAAATGTCCATCCAGACTATACACAGTAATTTTCAAGTAAAATGGTACCACTGTTTTACTCAAAGTTATCATTTCTTTCTTTGTTCTTACATTTCTATCAGGAAGTGCAACTATTTGCACCCTGATCCTCTACCATATCAAGTAAGAATTTTTTTGGAAGATTCCCAAAGAATATTCACATAAGTTAGACAATGAAGAGGATCGATATGAAGGAAAAACAAAATGGAACACAGATAAAACTTGGATACAAGTATATAGACCAGTTTAATTTTTTTTCCTTTTTTTTTTTGGTACCAAGGATCAAACTGAGGACCTTGTATTTGTGAAGCAGGCGGCAGCACTGTTGAGCTAAATCCCTGGCCCTTCCTTCGATTTTTTTGAGGCAGGGTCTCCCTTTGAAGTTCAGACTAGCTCTGAACTCACCATATAGCCCAGGCTGTCCTCAAACTCAGTGATCCTCCTGCCTCAGCCTCCTGAATGCTGGGATTACAGGCATGCACCACCACTGCCAGCTAGACCAGTTTAATTTTAACACAGTGAATTTAAGATAATGTGTTTTAACAACAAAAAAAGTACCATATAAATGGAAAGTACTCAGAATAATGTCTGACACATAATGGTTACTATAAGTATTATTAGCATTATTATAATGACAATTATTCATTGTCGAATATTATATTCCAGTGCCTAACATGCCAGGGACCCAAGTATTTGTGAAGTTAAATATTTGATGAATGAAACTGTATTTTTTTTTTGGTACCGGGGATTGAACTTGCGTCCTTGCGCTTGCAAGGCAGGCCACCAAACTGCTGAGCTAAATCCCCGCCTCAATGAAACTCTATTTTAACAAAACTGCAATTTATTAATTGTTCTACATACAATTAACTTTTTGGATTACCTGTAATTCTACAACCAAAAATTTATCATTTTATACCCAAGTAAATTTTACAAAATGATATAGTCCAGCTGGGAGCGCTGGTGCACACCTGTAATGCCAGCACTCGGGAGGCTGGGGCAGGAGGATTGCATCGAGTGTGAGGCCAGCCAGAGCTACATAGTGAGTTCAAGGACGGCCTGAACTACACAGTGAGACCCTGTCTGAAAAACAAACTAAAATAAAATAAAACGTGGACCAGAGATTTAGCTCAGGAGCACCGCGCCTGTTTCCCAAATGCAAGGTCCTGAGTTCGATCCCCAGTACCAAAATAAAATAAAACAATATAGTCTATTGTTGCACATCATATCTATTTAATCAGGCATAGCTGTAATCTCCTAAGCAACTTTTTTTTCCATTAAGTTTATTGGTGTATTATATTGTATGATGCACAGTAATACTTTAGTATTACACAATTTTTTCATGTTTTAAATTAAGCATGAATGTATTCATAGGAACACATCAACCTGCTCCCATAAATCTGTAACTTGTCAGCAAGCAATATCAGAAAATCTTTTAGCCGAGCGTGGTGGCGCACGCCTGTAATCCCAGCACTCAGGAGGCTGAGGCAGGAGGATCGCTGTGAGTTCAAAACCAGCCTGAGCTACATAGTGAGTTTCAGGTCAGTCTCAACTACATAGTGAGACCCTGTCTCAAAAAAAAAAAAAAAAAGAAAAGAAAATCTTTTAAATGATAATATACTGCAACTGCAGATAAAATCAAGCAAACAAATGGAATTACTTTTTTTTTGTACCAGGGATCGAACTCAGGCCCTTGCGCTTGTGAGGCAGGCAGCAGAACCACTGAGTCAAACCCCCAGCCCCGGAATTACATTCTTACTAACTACACTAATTTTGGCTTTGAAGATGTTTTTAGTAAAATGTCTTAAATTTTTATTAGATTTAAAACTGAAAGGTCAAGGATAAAGGAGGTATGTATAATAGGGGCAGGGCGCAAAGACACAGGATAGTGAAAACTTCTTTGACTTCATCTTTTTTAAAAATCGCTTTCCACTGAATTCTTCAAATTCCCTTGCACTTTGGTTCAAAAGGGCTTAAATCTAAATCAACTACCACGTACACAACTGCACTCACTTAAGGCAAAAAGTCCCATTTTCTATGAGAATGCAAATGGTCAGTCGAGTGACTCACCCAAGCTATCTGCTCCCAGAACCGGTGGAGGTACAGTACTGTACATACTACGAAGTTACTGGGCCGAGAATACTTCCTCAGACTGTCAGCTGCTAAGTTTCTTCCAGCTGCCCATTTCCGTCTCAGACCCACCACCTCCGCGAAGCAGAGCTGGAGGAACTCGTTTTCTGGGTACCGGCCCCGAGAGCAGGGAAAGCTGCCTCCACTTCCACCCTGAGAGCCCTCTGGCCTCTCCTGGCCTCTGCCCTGGCCATACGCCCTGCCCGCTCCCACCCCCAGCGAACCTGGCCTTCCTCACTTTCTGCGATTCATCCTCTCCCGATTCACCTCACCAGGTTCATCCCGAATCCCTGCCCCTATTTATCCCGACGGCACGCGCTGTGAGCACCCACAAACCTCTCAAGAGCGCACTCGGAACGAGCGGCCCTTCGGTTAACAGCTATCACGTTAGCGGTGTTCTCGGTACCCGACACCCACCTTTCCCACAACGACGCCTCCCGCCGCACGCCCGAGCCGCCGGGAGCCCTCGGCTCGGCCACTCCCCCTCCC